GCCCAAGCATCTCTTCATAGAATTACTGAACTGTTTAAGTCAGAAAAGGCCTTGAAGATCCTCAAGTTGTCCCCACCAGGGTGGCTGTGGGGCACAGGGCGAGCATCCCTGCAGCCCTCACCTTGCTGCAAACCCAAGGAGCCCCTTCTAACACCTGGGCTTGTCCTGCTGGGAGAGGGAGGGTGAAGGCAGGAGATGTGCAGGGCTGTGTGGGCAGGGCAGTGGGGCAGGGACCCCGTCTCCATCTCGTTTCCTGTGGCAAGGTCTGTCCGAGAGCACGTGGAAGGGTCATTCCATGTCTTTGTCCTCCACGCTGTCCTGCCGTGCTTTCGCTGCGGTTGCATGTGCGGTCTGAGTGACTTACTGCAAGGAAAGAAGCTGTTGTTTCTGTCTCATTGCCCCTCCTGTTATTTTTCTCCTTAAAATCCTTCCCTCTCTTCTCTCCATCATACCAGAGCTCTGCTCAGATTCATCTCGGGTGTGTGTTTTCATTATTTATTTCTTTTTACGGTTTGTTTTGCCTTTGCATTATCTTCTGCTTATGTTGTCTGAAGCCCATGCCTTTCCTGACAAACCCCTGGCATTTGAAAGGCGCAGGGAAAAGCCCTGGGAAGCTGGGAGCTTCCCAGAAATCCAGGTCGGGAGCAAGGGGCTGCGGGCACCCCGAGCCCTGTCACCTTGCGTGACACATTCTCAGGGACAAAAAGGACTTTGAGGTGAAGGACTCTCACCTCCTGAATGGCAAAGGGTTCATTTAACCCTCAAAAAGCCATTTTTTTTCCCCCTGCCCCCACTTGTTTCAGCAGTCCCTGGTGTCTAACGTGGCTTTTGAGGCGGTGTGAGCACCGGGAGCTCGTGGTTCTAATGGGAAAGGAGACATTCCAGCCAGGCATCTCCTGCTCTGTGTCCGTGTGTCTGCTTTATCTGCCAGTTTTATGCCCTGAAACGCAAGAGGAAACGCTTCCCTGTGGCTCCTCCCTCCAGGGTGTTGGAGGTGATGCTGGAGGCATCACCAGAGGCCAAGGGGAGAAGGCGCATTTGCCAAACCCAGCTCGGCCGGGAGCGCGTGAGCCCGGTGACCTCTTCTGCTCCAGACCAAAAAAAAACACAAACACAAACCAAAACAAAAAGGAGAAAACTCCCCACCAAAGCCCTTCCCAAGCGGGCAGGAGTGCTCTTCCATCTGGGCTTCCATGGCTTTGCTTTCTGCTTCCCCAGCCCCACGCAGCGTTTAAACCCCCCCGCTCGTTGCCCCTGGCTTGTGGCGCCTCGTGCCCCCTCCCTAGCGAGATAAATGACCTGCTCTGTGACTCACACTGTGTCCTTCTCTCTCCCTCTCCTTAACCTTTCCCATCCCGCTTCAACTCCTGGCCATACAGAGAATGAACAGCCTTCCCTCGTTTGGTTTGACAGAGGAAAGTTTTATTTGACTTTCGAAGGTAAGTAGTGCCCAGCAAACCCGGTAACGTCCCGCTCCCCTCGCTCTCGCTCTCTGATTCCCCGGGTTTCCCTCCGAGGCTCCAGCCCAGCTTTCCCTGCCACTTGGCTGAGGTGGCAACTTTGGCCAGAATGATTTGGATTGGATTTGTGCCTCACGATGGCTCTCTATTTGTTTAAAAAGAAAAACAAGCAACAACAAGCCAAACAACCCCCTCCCCGACAGACCTAAAGTCTCGTACCGAGACTGCGGCGAAAACCAGAGAGCGGAACGGCTTGCGCTGCCAAGGAACTTGACTCTGTCAACCAGGGCTTCTCTCTACTCTCCCCTGCGAGCTGCTCGTCCCCCTGAGAGGCTGTGGCACAGGGTGGTTAATTGCAAGCCAAAGGGTGACGGGTTCTCCACCGAGCCTGGGCTCCTTCCTCACCTCCCGTCAGACCTTTCTGCAGCGAGGGGCAAGGATGGGACGGTGCTGGGGTGGCCAGTTGGAGGTGCTGTGTGGGTTTTGGGGTCTCCCGTCGATTATAAAGGGGGGGAGAGGTTGTTTTGGGGCAGGTGGTGCTTCTCCAAGCAGCATCACATCTGGGAGAGGGCAGAGGCATGAGCACCTGGGTCGCTGCCAGAGCCCTGAGGTGTTGGAAGAAGCTTCATCTCATCTGCTGTGCCAACGTTTTCCTGTTTTTTAAGAAAAAACCAACAAGGCAAACTGGGGAGGTTTGCTCAGCAGGAGCTGAAAGGTGAAGGAGGTGCGTTGAAGCTGCTGTGGTGCTTGCAGGCAGAGCAGGGCTGGGGCTGGCTGGGGGCTGCTGCTGGCACGGGGCATGCCAGGGCCTGGTTCCCATGGGACTCACTCTCTGGGAAGCATCTAATCCGTAGAGCGTGGCCTCTCCAGCAGGTATCTCGGTGGCTTGGGGTGGTGCAGCTGGGTGTGTGGTTCTTGGGTTGATGGGGCAAATCCTGCTTTGGTGAGCGCCGTGCTGGGGCAGCAGCAGATGCCCAGGTGGTGGTGACCAGGAGGAATGGTTTCTTCTTTCCCTCCTTCTTGCTTTTAATCCACCACAGATGCCAGGACCCAAGGTCCCTGCTCTGATGGTCTGTGCTCCCATGGCATCTCTCTGCTTAGCCCTGGAAGAGGACTGGGGAGGAACTCTTTCCTCCCAATCCTCCTTGAAGTTTTGCTGTTTCGAGCAAAACCCCTTCTTGGCTTTCCTTTCTTTTCGAGGTGCCACCCACCTGTCCAGGTCAGGGCCAGGGCTGGCTGGTCACTGAGCTGGAGCAGCCTTCTTGGCACATTATCCATGTATCCAGCACTGTGCATCCCCCCCTGCTCCGTGTTTCCTCCTCCCCCTCGCTCAGTCTCACACCAGCACCACAAGCTCACCCAGCGTTTGGGGGATTTCTTCTATTTTTGTGTATTGCTGTTGCTGAAGGGTGTATGTGAACTTCTGCACTTTGTTCTGGCAGTGTGAAGGGTCTGGAGCTGGGGGTGGGTTTGTGCCCAGTGACAGGGCTGCAGGAGCCTGGCACTGCTTCCAGGCCCATCTCAAACTGGGAAGGAACCAGATCCCTTCCACACACTCTATTTCCTCATCAAGCCCTAAATCTCTGAGCCCAACTTAAACAAATCAAGGAAAACTTCACCTCCACGGGAGGTGCAGGGAGATCTGCCCAGGTGCCACCTGTCACTCCAATGCCCCAGGAGGAATTAGCTTTTCTTTCTGGGTTTGGGGTTTGTTGTTTATTTCTGCGTAGATCCGTGTGTTTGCAGTTGCAGTTGGTTGGTGTGTGAAAGCTGTGGTGCAGCTTTGGTGATGCTCTCCTGGATACACAGAGCTGCCCTGGGATCCCAGGTCCTCAGCTGTCATCCCTACACCCCTCTGTTTTCCACTTCCATGTGGGGAAGAATAAGGCAAACTAACCTGCTGTGCTGCTTATGGCTGGATCCAAAGCTCCATAAAGTAGATTTTATTTCATCTTTTCTTTCCTCCGGTGTTTTCCAGTCATTTTGCCAAGATGAGGTTTCTAAAAATAACTTCTGCAGCAGTCACCAAAAAGCCAGATTGCTGGTGGAGATGTGCCACAGCACGTGCTTCAACTAGACTTGTCTCTCAAGTTTTTGGAAAAGCATTTCAGGGTTTAAAATAGAAAGAGCATACTCTTCTTTTTTATGTAAGCTTTTCCTTTAAAAAGCTGTACAGTCTCTGAAGGTGTTAAGAGAAGAATATGTAGGTTCATGGGGGAAGAGTGGAGGGAACCAAGAACCCTGAATGCCACTTACATCCAGGTGGTTTTTTATTCCAAGTCAGAGCAGGAATGGGGAGGATGTTGTGTTGCTGTCTGGATGGACCCAGACTTTCAACGTCCAGCTGAGCCTGCTAAGAGAGATACATGAGAGAAGCTGATTTATCCTTGTACATATGATTTGTCACTCTGGAGAAGGAAGAAGTCTTGTATGTGTAGAGAGAAATGGTGGAAGACTTGAGAGATGACTGAAAAAACCCACCTGGCAGCAGCCAGAGCTTGTATGTTTGGGATGTTATGTTTCCTCCCCCAAAGAAAAATGATAATTTTGCCAGGGATCACGGGCTTTGCTGCTGCTGGGCAGGTAGTGACCTTCATCTCAGCTTCCCTGGTGTTCCTCTGCTGGGTGAGACCTCCAGTTCCACCCCTCTTTAGCCAGTCTAAATGGGTGCTGTCGACTCTCATCAGTGTTCCTGGGTGGATGTGACAGGAGTATCCCACCCCACTCAGCTGGATTTGATGTGCTGGGGGGTGGTTGTTCTGGGTGTGGGGAGTGAGGATGAGCTTTCTGATAACCCACCTGTGGTGCCTGGGGAAAGGATGGATTTAAAAAGACATTGCTGTTCCAGTCCTTGGTGCTGCTCCGTGCCCAGGTATTGCAGGGGGCTGGGGGGGCTTTATACAAGGTCGTGTAGAGGCAAGACAAGGGGAATGGCTCTGAACTGGAAGGGGAAGACTTAGGTGAGACATTAGGAAGCAATTCTTTGCTGTGAGGGTGGTGAGAGCCTGGCCCAGGCTGCCCAGAGAAGCTGTGGCTGCCCCATCCCTGGCAGTGTTGAAGGGCAGGTTGGATGGGGCTTGGAGCAGCCTGGGCTGGTGGGAGGTGTCCCTGCCCATGCAGGGGGGGGTTGGTCTTTGAGGTCCCTCCTAACCCAAACCAGTCTGGGATTCGATGACTCTCTGAAGACAGCAGAATGAGGGGGTAGCTGGGTTGAAGCTGCCACACCTCTTTGCTGTGTCTCGGGCAAAATATCCTTGTGCTTGGTGCGAGCTGCAGACCGTGATACCACAAAAAAAAAGGTTCCAAAACGGTGCGATGCAAAAAACCAAAACCCACCAGCTCAGGCTGAACAGGCGGTGCCAGGAGTGACCCCTTGAGGACTTTTTTGGGATCAGCGCCTTGTACGTTGGCTGGGAAAGCAGCCGCTGGGGCC